TCGTTACATTAGACAGCTGACATTATGCTTAACATTCGTAAATAAATGCACTATGAGTTACCACTGATGTGTATGTACGTGTGTCTTAGTGTCAGCACTAAACAACAGGATTTTAAATATTTTTAATTTTCTTTATTTCTTATTTATATTCCTTTGAGTTACCAGTGAAACCTAGGACTTCAGGTTTTCAACTCTTGAAGTTTCCTTAACGGTAGTGTTATTGTTAACGGGGCAGGTTGCTAGTTGCCTAGCCTCCAAGTTCCCCTCTTTACCTGTCTTATTACTGGCTAAGCGGCCAGGGATCAAATCCTGGGCCGTATTCAAAGTTGACGAGCATTCTAACGTTGAACCACAGAGGCATTCTTAATATTTTTAAAAAATTTTTAGTCCTTCGCGTTCTCAGTGGAACATAGGGCTTCAAGCTAGAGGCTTGAAGTTTCTATAGCAGTGTCTATTTTTACAGGATGGGGTTGCTAACCTCATGCCCAATCATTCCTCTTTACCAGCTTTATTTCTGGCTTAGCGAAGTAAAAGGGTGCGTCGGCCAGGGATCGAAGCCCGGACCATGTGCATAATCGGCGAGCGCCTCTTATGGCAATTTCAACAGTAAAGCATTATGCAACTAAGATATGATTGTAATGTGACATCTTTATGACATTAATTTGTTTACCGGAAACATACCGCACAGAGTAAAACCGTGTTATTTACTGGACGACATTCTAAGGACAATATATCTTACATAATGGAATCAATTGTTATTAGTAAAACTTCGAAACCTGACTTTTATACTTCTTATTTTGCTTTCCTGTTTGTTGTAAGGGTAGTAGAATTTTCTAGAAGTTCGGAAAAGGTGTTCAATGATTACAAATATATATATATATATATATTCTAAGTTGATTCGATATATAAGGCTTCGGTTGTCAGTCTTTTGTTCCACCTTGTAACATTATATTTTAAGGCCATCACTTTATCCCATTCCCTTTTTTTGTAGATTTTTTATCTACTAGTGGAGTCTTTTCTAAGTTTTTGTGCTCCACTAATCTAACTTACCCCAGACTATTGCCTCAACCTTTGTATTTGATGTCACTGTCATTGCAAGGTACTAAATGAATTAAATTATTCTGTCTAATGGACTTCACAGGATCCTTTAACCAGCATATTTTGTTTCTAAGCGAATTTCAGTGTAACAGTTGTCTCAGCCATCTTAAGAATCCTATATAAGGTACCATCTTTGTATGGCGACCCTACTGATACTTCTAAATTCTCTCTTCTTGATTACGCTGTTTTTATAATTTTACACACTTATCAAATCCAACAATCTACACCTGGTTTTGTTATCTTTACCAATTGTCCAATTTGACAACGAAGAATGACCCCATACTGAGGAACGATGATTAAGTTATTATATATATGCTAAGATTTTGTAAATTCTGGTTCAATAATACTTTGATAAAGCTATTAACACTAAATAGCGAAACGTCAGTAAAAACAATATCGTTTTGTTTTTCATTCATTGGGAAATACAAGAAAGCCTTTATTATAATGGACGTTACCTCTCTGCTTGTGTTTTTCACTCATACCTCACTTATTGTTATTTTATCCTTAGAGTCTTCTATAGTTGTCCACTTCATTGTTTACTGAGGCTGGTGTCCCTCAAGGCGCTGTCCATTTTCCTTTTCTGTTTTCTTTCTTCTTGCATGACTTGCCTCTTTTGTCTTTCTTCTCACCATGCTATATCAACATAGCATTAGATTCAATAATCTATAACATGCTAAAGTTTTCTCACTGAATCGACAATACTGTTTGAAACAAACTCATTGTTATTATTATATTTATTATTCTCATTTTGTACTTCGAACATTTTTGACTTTAAATCTGAACAAATTCTCCTGGTTAATTTTGTTTTAATTTTATTCATATTTTGAGTAAATCAGATGCAATATTGTGACAAATGCAGACAATTCCATTCTGTATCATAAGTACTGTTTTGGAATAAGGTAGATTACTATTATTATAATTATTAATTAATTTATTTATCACGGTAATTATTAAGTAACAAAGTTGGTCTTAAATGTCTTACTTCCTGCCGTGGGTTTTCTTTTGTACTATTTAACTGCTTTTCCCTATGACTTAGACAGCTCACTAATCCTATTTTTACTGACACTAGATGGGATAAAACGAAATCTAAAAACTGAATTTCGAGGATGTGCAGTTATAAATTGGTGATATGATTATGAACATGGGTTATCTCGAACAGACGTGACTGAGTTCTGCTATCAATAAAATAACCTATACTATAGTCAATATATCGATGATACATGTGTTGTTTGTAACGACATGAGTCACGCATCTGTATTATTTGACCGTAGCAATGAGATCCACCCAAACATTAAATTCACCATGGAACATGAACATAACGATGAGTTCAATTTCTTGGACCTTAATTTAAGAAGAAGAAACGATGGCACGGTCTAAAAGTGCATCTATAGAAGAGAAACTTGGACCGGAAAATATCTTCACTGTAACAGTTTCTGTTCTATAAGCTTTAAGTCTGGATTAGTAAGGAGCCTGTACGACAGAGCCAGGAAGGTATGTTCGCCCAACAAGGTGGGAGAAGAATTAGGCTTTAGTGAGAAATACCTAAGGGAAAATTGGTATCCAAATGGATTTATACAAAAGTATAGCAAAGAAAAAGATGAGAAAATGAAACACTCAACTGTTGAGAAGAAGAAAGTGTTGATTTGTCTCCCATTCATAGGAGAAGCAGTATCGCAAAAGACTGACAAGCGAATGAAAGGATCAATAAAATGATGCTTCCCTGAAGCTAACCTCGTAGCACTATGCAGCACCACTTACTTTATAAGCCAGTCTAAAGTCACTTACAACTGCATTTATAAATTTACAGGCATTTGCAGGAGTAAATGTATTGGAAGGACAGAAAGAACGACCTCTATCCGGTTTTCTGAGCATATCCCAAGAAACTATGCCTAAAAAGAAGCAGACATTCACAAAGTGCAATTACCAGACACCTTGTGGATACAGGTCATTTAGTCGAGATTTCCAAATCTCTCAAAATACTTAGCATACAAAGGACAGGAAATTTACTACAATTTGTTGAAGCAATTACAATCAAACGTTTAGAACCAAACTTATGTACACAGAAAGAGAATCTAATCAGTCTCTTACGGCCTAGGTAACTGCATTTTGATTACACATTGACAAATTTCAATACTATGAACTATAACCTTATTGAGTTGCTATGTGAACCTACAGGTTAACACTGTTTATTAGATTTTTCTGTTTTCTGTCTTCTCACCCCACAGTTTTTCTATTTTGAAATCACATAAACTGATGGTAACTTAAAATAAAAATTGTGATGCTTATATTTCGGATGCGTTGATTTCATAATGTTTTCTCCACTACTATTCAAACAATGAAGTGCGTTATTGTCATTGTGTTTATAACCATTGTAATTTCAGGTGATTTGCAGCTGATGAGAACCCGTGAAATAGAATGATGATATCATTTTATACTGTAAATTTCGTCTTTCTTTCCTTATCAACACGATAAATTGTATTCGAAATGTTGTCTTCCAGTAAAATATAATACAACTTCAATATTATTATTTCGTTGGGTTCCGAGTGGGATATTGGGCTTCAACAACACATCTCCACTTTTTCCTATTCTGTTCTGTCCTCTTCAGCTGATTGTCCATAGTCTCTACTCTCCTCCTCTTCAAACGACCTCCTCCATGTCACCCTCGCACCGACGACCCACTTGTCGCTTCCCAATGGGACATATATATTCAATAAATGAATTAATAAGACAATTGCAGCGAAGAAAATTTTCCTTTCGAAGAAGTCATCATCTAGGCTGTACGTTCGTGTATTTATATCAAATGGATGGGAAAGTTCCAGAATAATTTCCGGTTAAGGGTCAAATTAATAAAAATTACAATTAGGAATTAGTATGCCATAATAAACAGGGGGACGGATAAAACTCAAACAAAGTAGCATTATAATAACTAAGAAGATTGACATTGTGCAATTGGGGGTTAGAAATGTAGAAATAACAAAATATACAGGATGTTTGGATAAAAAACTAATATGATGAATAATTGTTTATGCAATCAGGGATTAAATATGTATAAATAGTAAAATGACAAAATAAACAGGAAGAGTGGGTATGAAAATATGGTAGTGTAAACAGGGATTAAGAAAAACTTAAAATAACATGAATAAACAGGAGGTTTAGATAAGAAGGGCATTATTAAAAATTTATCTTTTTATGATGGCCATGGCAGGGACAGGGGTTGGGCGTATTTCTTTTGGATACTAAGCGTGGGCTTGAACTTTTGGATAGCTAGCGCCTCAGCTATGCCCAGATGTCTTGATTTGACTCCCTCTGATAGGTTTGATTGAATCTTGTATATTACTTTGAAGGATTTTTCGAAAGGCGCTGAATGTCCTGAGTTGACCAGATGTTCTGTCACTGAACTCTGGTGGCACAGTGGTTAGGACTCTCGCCGACCATGCTTATGGTCCGGGGTTCGATCCCCTGCCGGCGCACACCCGATATCTATGGTCGGCCTGAATTTGGGCTACCGATATCCATGCTGAAAATTCCACACTTGTACTGAAAATACGGTGTGAAATCAAGCTGTAAATCAAAAATAAAAAAATAAAAATACACGTTTTTGGTCTCCTTTTACTAGCCAGGCTGGATAGTGTTTTAGTTTTATCCGTCCCCCTGTTTATTATGGCATACTAATTCCTAATTGTAATTTTTATTAATTTGACCCTTAACCGGAAATTATTCTGGATCTTTCCCATCCATTTGATATAAATACACGAACGTACAGCCTAGATGATGACTTCTTCGAAAGGAAAATTTACATTCGCTGCAGTTGTCTTTTTAATAAATCAATTATTATGGAATTACATACTACCATAGTATTCCTATATTATAATATAACAATTTACTTTATTTTTACATTCCAGAGTCAGTTAAAAGAGAAGAATAATTGCAATGTTGTTTATGGTCACAATAATACTAGTCAATATGCTAAAGAAAAGTATACCGAAAAAGTGGTGAAAGTAGCAACAGAAAATGATACAGACAATGTGAGTTCAGAAAAAAAAGCATATAGAGGTAGTCTGTTACTAACCAGCTAATTAATTAACTAATTTCACTATTTTTTTTAAAGATAATTTTAAACATTTTTGTGTGACTTGGTTGCTTTCTGTGAGCTGAGTAGTTTAACTGAGAAGCTTTTATTGTCTTTCCGGACAGCCCATCTTCAGTGCAAACTTCAGTATCAAGTGAAATTATGATTCGTTGTTAATTCGTATCACGGAATATACACAATGGATCAGAGGAATTGTTAAAAAGACGGTTGCAGCGAAGAAAATTTTCTTTTCGATGAAGTCATCAACTAGGTTGTACATTCGTGTATTTGTTCTAAATGTTTGGGAAAGTTTCAGAGTTACTTCCGGCTAGAGGTCAGATTAAAAGAATTACTAAGTGTAATAAACAGAAGAAAGGAAGTGGTACTATTCTAGATACATTTAAGGTCAAAGGTCAAATTATAAACTTTCAAAGCTGTGTGCCTATAAGTAGAAAGAGAAACCTAATATACTCTCTTTCCTCGAGGATCCGGAAGATTTGCACTGAAGAGTCAATCGATGAAGAATTACAAAATCTCCGAGGGACCTTGAATGAAAATGGATTCCCACCCAGATTCATAGACAAGAATCTAAAACCAAGGAAAACACCTGAAAAGGTCCAAATTGCCCTCAAAAACATGCTGATATTGGACCTCGAATTTAAAAGTGATACCGAAGCAGAAATTCTCCATAGACGGCTTTCGAAGTCTCTCAGTAAAACATACTTCACCGCCAGCCTACAAATAACATTCTCCTGCAAGAAATTACTCACCCAACATGTGAAAGACAAGCTGTCGCATTGGGCCACTTCAACATGCATATACAAGTTCACATTGGCCGTAACATGCATCCGCTTGTAAAACGCACTCGGGAACACTATCCAGCATAGTTAGCAAAGGGAGAACGCAAAGGGGTATACAGTTCGATAACAGAACATCTGGTTAATTCTGGACATTCAGCCCCATTTGAAAATTCCTTCAAAGCCATATACAAGATGTGATCCAACCTACCAAAGGGAGTGAAATCAAGACATGTAGGAATAGCTGAGGCACTGACGATCCAAAATCTCAAGCCTACTCTATCTGTCCAGAAGAAATACGTCCAACCGTTGGCCGTACCGTGGCCATGATGAAAAGTCAGTCTCATTAATAACGATTGTCCTATTACCTCTCTTGTCCAACCTTCCTGTTTATTTCTGTTATATTTACCTTTTTAAATCCCAATCTGTATTATTGGATTTGATTACTGTTTTTATCTCTACATGGTCGAACCTCCTACCCATTTCGTTAGTACTACTTCCTTAACCCGGAATTATACAAACTGACGAGTTTTCCAGCAATTATAATCTTATTATGTCGTTTCTACCCGATCCTCCCGATTATTACACATTGGAATGTTTTCAGTTTGAACTTTGACCTGAAATAGTTCTAGAATAGTACTACTACCTATCTTCTGTTTATTACACTTAGTAATTCTATTAATTTAACCTTTTGACTGGAAATAATTCTGGAACGAATGTACAGCCTAGTTGACGACATTGTCGTAAAGAAAATTTTCTTCTCTGCAACCATCTTTTCAATTCGTATCACTATTGATCATGAGGACAGGAGTAAGACAAGGCTGCCTACTATCACCAATGATTTTCCTGATTGCAGTAGACTGGGTAATGCGACAGACAGCGGGCAATGAGGAAACAGGCATAAAATGGACTCAAACAAAAAACTTGCAGGATCTAGACTTCGCCGATGATATATGTCTGATTTCCCACAAACTGGAAGATATGCAAGCGAAAAGCAACAAGTTAACAGAAGAAGCATCAAAGATAGGACTTCAGGTGAACATAGAGAAAACAGAGGTGATGAAGATTCCTGGGCAACACTACCAACAGCAACAACAACAACAATAGACAACAATCAGCATAAATGGAAGGAACCTGAAAGAAACTACCTCCTTTACCTACATGGGAAGCATCGTTTCAACTACAGGCCGACGGAACTGATGAGGATATCAAAGCAAGAATCGGAAAAGCAAGACAGGCTTTCACTACTCTCAAGTCTGTGTGGAGGTCAACAGCACTCAGCATCAAAAATAAGATCCGGATTTTCAACTCCAATGTGAAGTCAGTACTACTTGCTATACAGATCAGAGACGGCGCCTCGTCACGAAGGGCACAATTCGAACAAACTACATTCATCAACATCTGTCTTCGCTCAATACTCAAGATCAGATGGCCGGTCAGAAATGATCAGCAGCAGGGATCTCTGGGAGCAAACCAACCAGGAACCGATTGTGAAACAAATAAGCAGGAAGAAATGGAGATGGATTGGCCATACTCTGAGGAAACCATCAAGTGACATCACTAGACAAGCCATTGCTCGAGTGGAACCCGAAAGGGAAGCGGCTAGTTGGTCGTCAGTGTGAGGGTGACTTGGAGGAGGTCATGTGAAGAGGAGATGAAAACGTGTGGACAGACTTGGAGCCAGGTGAAGACTCTGACAGTGAACCGAACGCAGTGGAGACGTATGGCTGAAGCCCTATGTTCCTCTAGGAATTAAAGGAAACAATAATAATAATTGATCGTATTTTATTGACTTGAAATCTGACTTTTTACATTATATGGATTATTCTTGTTTTTCGCTTGCAGATCTTCGATTTTGTGTGACTTTAGGTATAAATCATCCATGTAATCCAAATCTCTTAGAGTCTTCTTATGTTTGTATTCTCATTCCCGATAGTCTGCCACGTGATCATATCATTACTTAGCTATTGAGGATTTTGAATAACGTGGCTTTTGCGTATGAGATGGTCTGGAGATGTATATATATATATATATATTTCGCGGATGATTTATGTTAGATGTCACACAAAATCGAAGACTTACAAGCGGAAACCGACAAACTGGTCGAAGAAGCAGCAAAGACAGGACTCCAGGTGAACATAGACAAGACGGAGGTTATGAAAATAACCAACCAACCAATAACAACAACAACAGCAACATCCAGCGCCAATCACCATCAACGGGAGGGATTTGAAAGAGGTTACTTCATTCACGTATCTAGGGAGCATTGTCTCAACCACAGGAGGAACGGACGAGGATGTCAAATCGAGAATCGGGAAGGCGAGAAACACATTCATCAACCTGAAACCAATCTGGAAATCTTCGTCACCTAACTCAGCATCAACAACAAAATTCGGATTTTCAATACAAACGACGTCAAGTCAGTCACTTCTTCTATACGGATCAGAAACTTGGCCAGTGTGTCACAAAGAATATTTCCAACAGCCTGTTGCAGACCTTTATCAACAGCTGTCTTCGTTCTATACTGAAGATCAGATGGCCGGAAAGAATCACCAACAAGAAACTATGGGAACAAACAAAACAAGAACCAATCGCCCAACAAAAAAATATTCAGGAGAAAGTGGAGATGGATTAGACACTCGGTGAGGAGGCCGTTGGGTGATATCGCGCATCAGGCCAGTGCTCGAGTGGAAGCCGAAAGGGAAGCGGCGAGTGGGACGTCCAAGGGTGACATGAAGGAGATCGTGTGAAGAGGAGTTGAAACAGTATGGACTAACAGGTGAAAAGTACAGCAGAAGACAGAACCAAGTGGAGACGTGTATTTGAAGCCCTATGTTCCATTAGGAACCCAAGGGAACAATTATATATATATATATATATATATATATGACCACAAACATTTACACTATTAATTTTACACCCGTGGATGTGTCTTCAGTATATAACAGACTAAACTGCGTCGATTTGATAATCTGACTAGATAGATAGATGATGACAAAAAGAAGGTGCAAACTCCAACTTCACAACTATATTCAGTCAATTCATAAAAGATATTTAAAAGCTAGAAATGAATAATATAGAAAAATATCCATAAAATATCGATTCAATCAATCAATCGATCGATAACTAACACTTCTACTACTACTGCTGCTATTATTATTGTACAAATTCATATGAATAATGACGACCATATGATTTGAAAGTCAATGATGCTACATCAATCATTGACGATTCAACGTTCTACTAATCCATATGACTTTCCATTAGAACTAATAATAATAATCATTAGTTCAATGTATAAACAATGCAAAAAAAGCCTACAACTTATCACATGTTAGAGGAACTAAAGAGAAATACTGGCAAGTGATTTACTTATGTGCTAATATGAATGAAAATGAAGGAGAATAAACTAAGCTACGGAAAAGCAGAAGCAATTATCAGTGAATATGCTGTTGAATAGAAAAAGAAAAGAAATTGAAAAATAGGAAGATTTGGAAATTGTATAAGAGGGGGGTCAAATGTTTTTCACCATAGTTCCCTTTGGAAACCTAAATTGTTCAGATCACAGTATGTGATCTGCTTGATACCACAAATGGTAATCACGAAAACTATATACTACTGATTGTATACTACTCACACCAAGCAGTACTGCTAGCTAGCTGTATTGAAGTGACCCAAACACTGGACGGACGTTTCGCTCATTTCGGACCGAGTTCATCAGTGGTGTGCCATCCAGTTTGTCTCAGCTTCGAGAGAGACGAATCAGTTCAATCCACCTGATTTCTGGTTGGCTAATTGGGCGAACTAGTGCTGGCGTAAATCGAATTAACAATTTACAATGTACACAGTTCGAGAGGTGAAAATTCACCATAGTTTCCTTTGGAAATATTGGAAGTTCAGTGTTAGAATGCTTGTTAGTCACATGGAAGATCGGCGTTCGACTCTCAGTCGACAAACTCCTAAACCATACGTAGTTTTCTGGCCAGTAGTTATCCTAGTAAAGAGGGAAGTTGGGGTGTAAGGCTAACAACCCCACCCTGAAAAAATAACTTCGCTTTCACTGAAACTTCAGGCCTTATGTTCCACTTGGAACGCAAAGGAATGAAGATGAAGAAGAAGAGTATAACTGCAGGTTGGTTCGTCTATTTAATTAATAATACAGAATCACTGAATCATACAGAATGATCGATAACCATACAGATCAATACAAGGAAAACAAAACTCCTAAAGACAACCAATCACAAGTAAGGTCACCAAAAGAAACAGTTATATCATTCATGGAGAATTTTAAAAGATTCATTTCAATTACTTTAAGTAAGAATGTGTAGAATACCTGGCTGTGGTCTGAGAGTCGCTAAGAACCAATGAATAGCGTCAGTTGGTGATAGGGCTCAGTGATGCAGATGAACTCCTAGATCCATCAGACACTCATTGTTCTCCATGTACTTATTGTTTCTGCCGTACATTGCCATCCATTATAGTTCCTTTGAAGTTCTTTTCTCTCTGCCTTTATATGCTTTAAGAAGTGAAACAGCTTGAACTACTGCAATTTTTTGCATAGAGAACTAATGGTTTCTCTTTTATGCAGTTGAGTGGAACTTCCTCCCAGTATACTTGTAACAAGAAATATCACACTTTTACACCGAAGAAATTCAGAAGTCAGATGTATCTTTGTTTTTAAAGATGTTATCTTGAAGTCACATTTCATCCTTTAGAATTTGTAATCTTAATAAAGTTGAACAGTAAGCTTCACTTATCCAAACTGATGTCATATGGTTCGAGGCTATTGACAGGAAGGCGATTTCCTCTCTATCGTCCAATCCCTCACCCCCCCAGTGCTGTAGTAAGAGAAGTTACCACTAAGTCATTTGGGCCCACGATTGAGCTCCTGTATGACTGTAATGGATAGATTGGCTGGTCTGTTGGATGTAACCAATGTCACACGTCATATCCATGTCCAAGGCTTCCTGTCACTTGCTTCCAAGCACCTAATGTTAGTTCAGAGTACACCACGATGGTGAGTCACCCAGCTTGGTGACCATATTTCAAACTAGACCGATAAAATTCATTCAGTACCAACACTTGAGGGACCAGTAGCATTACATTGATTACACTCCAGTGGCCATAATGTCTAATAATTGACTCATTCTTTGTAAGAAAAAAAAGTCTGGCATCTTACTATAGATGATTTCAAAAATCCCTCATTTACCATTTTGCATATCCGTGCTAATCATAAGTTTAGGCGCCTATTTATTAACTTTCTTGCATACAGCATTTACACTTTCTCTGATCAAATACATACTTCATTGAAGAATTGAAAGCGTCTGTTGTTATGCGGGCATAGTGGATTTCTAAAAGAAAAGTAGATCTAGTGCTACAGTCCATCTAGGCTTTCTCCTACTTATCCTTTACTTTCCATGCCTTAAAGACAGACTGTCCCTTTATCACTCAGCTGCATTTTAATTTATTAGAAATCCTGAAAACCGTTTATGCGGGGTTCTAACATTTATACCATAGAACTGTTAGCGGAATATGAAGTTCCACATAAGAAAGCATAACTATCTGTTGGATTCACATTTTGGTTTTTGTAGGAGGGAGTCCGATTATTTTTAATGTGCATCTTATGAAAAAGTGACATCAGTTAGAGAACCACTGAAAGCCGAGGAGCACTGAATGACAGTTGTTTCATCCTACCCGAAAAATCTTCTACAGTGTGCACATATGATCCCGCTAGATCTAACACCTGTGGGTTACGAAACCAGTTCGTTGAACTTCCAACCAACGGGCTGGAATTCAATGATCCGTTAATTGTAACTTCTGTCATTTCAAAATATAGCGATACAGCGCTACCAACAACCAATGTTATCAATGAACATCTGGTCCACTTTGATATGGTAGACCCCACTGGCCACGCTTTCTCATTAGAACTTAAAGACATCCATGCTATAGCTAGTAGTGAGCTGCAGGTCGATAGTCAGACTTTGGGTTTTGTTGGGATTTCGATTAATTCAATATAGATTCCGTCACGACTCATGTTAGGGTGAAGGAAGGGCTCATCGATAACACCAAACGGTGCTAGCGCTCTACCTCAAAATGATAGGAGTTATAATTCATAGTTCATTGGATTCCAATCCAGTTGCTGAATGATCAACAGAATTGACACATAACCTGAAGGCCTTGGATCTGATTCCTGGTGAGATCATGAGTATGCATTGCTGAAGAGTTTCAAACTGGGACGAAACGACTGTATAATACTCCTTGGTTTTCAATGGTTCTCTTACTTGTGTCTGTCTCTGAATTAGTTGATTACAAATACACCGTTTACTTATTTTTTATGATTGTGAAAGATAATTTTTCTTTGTGCATATTTTTCCAATTTATAGGAAGTAATGCGATATATGACACAATCTGATTTGATTAAAAGCTATGCTCAAATACAAACAAGAAGCCAGAGATCGACAAAGTTGGTGAGTTCTTATGATTTATATTCAAAACCAGCAACATATATGCGAGTATTTGTTCATATTTGTAATTTCCCGATGATATATCTGACATGCATGACCCAGTGGATAATGTTTTGGAATTTGAAACGAAAAGTACAAGGTTCGAGTCCCATTGAGAACATCGTCTATCATTTACTTAGGATGTAGATGTAGGTACATCCAGCTGACATATCCCAAAATGGGACAAAATGAGGATCCTGAATCCCACTGCTAGTCACCATAAAACAAAATTAACATCTTGTCGATGTTATCCAGCTAACTGATCTAAAGATATCAGTCAGATTACTCTCGGTCACCTTACACCTCCTCATACTAAAGACACAAATATTCTTCAGAGTATTTCGACGATAGATTGTAATTAAGACAGTTAGTTTTGTTATCAGCCAGTGATATCGATAACTTCATATGCTTTCATTTAGATAAACTGAATAATTGAGTTTCAACATAGAACTTTGCACAGAAGTGCAGCAGAGTAAGTTGTCTCACTCCATGTACCACACAAAGGTACAGAAAAGAACGATAAAAGAAGTTCAGAGGAACTGTGATCAACAGGAATGTACGAAAAAAAATCAAAAGTAACATGTAAAATCATGAGGTCTAAATGGATCTTGGAGATTACAAAAAGTGGGTCCATCTCTGCTAGATTTTAGAATGGTTTTCAGCCTTATTACCAACGGTCTCAATCCATTGGTTCTTGGCATCCAGAGGATCACAAGCAGAATTTCTACACCTATTTACGGGGTTCAAACAAACAGTCAAATATTTCATGGATTGATGATATTACTCGACGACGAAGGTGGGGACTCGGCATTCGTGACACGAGCCACCACATTCGTTACGTGGATATATATTTTATGGCTTTTTATAATTCCTTCACGTTCCCCGTGGAACATAGGGCTTCAAGCTAGAGACTTGAAGTTTCGGTAGCGGTGTTGTTTTATTTTTACGGGATGGGGTTGCTAGCCTCATGCCCCACAACCTTCCATCTTTACCAGACCTATTACTGGTTTAGCGAGGTAAAGGAGTGCGTCGGTGGCCGGGGATCGAACCCCGAACCACCTAAGTGGTCGGCGAGCGTTCTGCTGCTGCTGCGCACAGTTACGGTTAGCTTGACATCAATTCATGCTTCACATACTGACCTGTCATTTTCTCCATAGTCAGTAACATGGGAGAAATTTTCTTTTCTTCATGTGACAAAGACATCCTGAAGATTGATACATGTGACAGGTAAATTAAACTCTCACTTTTATTTCATCTTTAAAGTTTCCATAAACCAGCTTATAAAACTATGATAATATGAATTATAAATATCCAGAACAGACACATCACTAATAACCCTGGAATTACCTGAGGTTGAAGATACCTAACCAAAAACAACAACAAAAACAAGCACTAATCACTATCAACTGGAGAAATCTAAGGGAAGTCAGGTTCCGAAGAACAAGACATATCTTCATTAATCTGAAATCATTGTGAAAATCTTCTGCACCTAGCATAAGGAACAAGATTCAAATTCTCAAAACTAATGTCAAGCCAGTCAGAGACTTGCGCGCGTCACAAAAAAGCAGTTCCAACAGTCTGCTGCAGACTTTTATCAATAGCTGCCTTCGCTAGCTACATACTGAAGATCAGATGACTGGCCAGAAAGGATAAGTAACAAGGAACTGTGACAATGTACCAACCAAGAACCTGTTGCCCAACAAATATGCCCGATAGAAATGGAGATGGACTGGATCGGCGCTGAGGACATCAGCGAGTAACACGACGCGCCAGGTAGAATTCCAGTGGAACCCGAATGGGAAACGGGGAGTTTGGTGTGGGTCGGTAGACGACATGGAGGAGATCGTGTGAGGAAGAAATGGAAGCTTATGGTCAGTCGTGAAGCCAGATGAAAAGGACTTCAGAGAACAAGATGAATGGAGATGTGCCCTACGTTCCACTTGGAACCCAAGAGAATAATACTAATAATATACCTAAGTGCCGAGTCTGATTGAGTCACAAAAGAATCTGATGATATTAGATGGTTAGAGGCAATCGGAAGGAAGCCTTCGACCTAGGTTTCGTGCTAGTTGGCACTCACTGGTCAGCAAGGCGTATCTGCAACCTTGAAGGAACTCGTATCCCTTCTGAGATTCGAACCCGCGTCACTCCGTGTTGCAGTTAGAGACGTTACCACTGATTGACATGAGTTCCTTCAAGGTTGCATATACGCCTTGCTGACTGGTGAGTGACAACTAGCACGCAACCTGGGTCCAAGGCTTCCTGCCGATAGCCTCCAACCATCTAATATCATCGAATCAATGTGCACCGTGATCGCGAGCTGCCTAGAATGGTGGCCACATTACGAACCTGACTGATAGAATTCAGTCCACACCAAAGAAAGGACTAGACACATCACACTAGTTACTAGTGTCCAATTAAAATATTCACTACAAAATTATTAAAGTATAATCCTACAGTGTTAAGCAAATTAAAACAAAAATTGTCTGAACATGTTTCGCAGTGGACAATGCACAACTTCTTTATCAGAAATACACAGATTTCATTTAGCAACACAACATAAGTAGTTAAATAGTACATGAAATAAAGTAAACTTATGTATATAGGCCACTTGGAGACGAACATTTGTATATACTGATGCCATAGAAAAAACATTGATGACCAATCACATTTAATCAATATATACAAATATTCACCGACAAGTGACCTTCACACAAGTTGATTTTAAATTTTCTATACTATTTAGTGAACACATTTTAGTGTTTTTGCTAGAGAAGCTATGGTTTATTCAGTGAAATTTTGGAAAAAAACACTTTGTTATGATTTTCGAAAGACGCTCAGATTATACCTAGATAATTTTATTACGGGTACGTTGACGATTCCATTGTGGAATGCTTGCCAGCCATATGATAGGTTATAGTTCTATTCCCGATCGACGAACTGCTGAACCTCATTGCTACTTACTAGTCGACAGTAAGCCCAGAAAAGGGGGAAGGTTGGGCATTAGGCTAGTAACTCCACTCGACAAAAACAACATTACTGTTCGTTAGACTTCAAAAAGTCTGAAACCCTATATTCGACTTGTTATAAGGGAGTGTTACCGATTTGTGGTTGTCGTCTACCTCGACTAGAATGAGTCCCCGGACGCGACACTATAATCACTTGAAAATAACCCTCACACTGAGGAACAAAGTTCAGATTTAAAGGCGACAACAACTACCTTTATTATTCAAAATGCAGGGTATATATATATGTATATATCTTTTATGCATCCATGGAAATTTAAACCATAAATAAACATCAATATCTGCTGACTGTATGACCTTGAAGGTCTCACGCATCTGCAGTCCTGACACCCTGGAAGCTGAACTGGATCTTCTGAAGGAAACCTTCATCCAAAATGGATACCCACCAAGATTCATCGACAAGAATATCAGACCAAAAGTTCAGAGGAACGAAACTTTACAAAAAAAGAAACTTTACATGAATCTGAACTTCAAGGGAGACTTAACCTGTAGTATCCTGAAAACAGGAATTTCAGAATCTTTGAGAAGAACACTCTTTGCAGCAACGCTAAGAATAATGTTCTCTAGTCGACCATTAATATGCAGAAGCCTTAAGGACAAGATCTCGCATCTGCCCACTTATATGTGCACACATCAGTTCACCTGTTGCTGTGGAGCCAGGTACACTGGTCGTTTAACGCGTTTCCTGTCCAGAAGGATTCGACAGCACTATCCCGCATGGCCGCAAAAAGGTAGTAGTGGCTGTATAAGGAGTGTGATCATCGAACACTTTGTCAACACTAACCATTCCATCTCAATGAACGAATCCTTCAAAGTAATCTACAGAGTCAAGAACCACCTACCAAAGGCAATACGCTTTCGTCTCCTTTGTATTGCTGAAGCCTTAGGCATTCAGTTGAAAAAACCTGAGTTAGTGTATACACAAGAAAATCATTCAGCAAATTCTGCTATAGCGGCGACAACCGTGTTAGTCTCCCCTGACTTGATGTTTGTTTGCCTGCTTTTCTAACCCCTTTTAACTCTCGTATTTCTTCTCAACACCTACATAATTCCATATTTTCTTTCATTTCTATGTACATCCTAATCAAAACTCACTCGCTCAACTATTTATCCTATTACGTAACTATAATACTCTAATTCAACTTCCTTTATGCATTGACTAACATTAACAACCATGTTTTTTTTTAACGACTCATCACCACTACCCTCATACCAGTGTTAACCCGCCCTAGTTACAATTTGATTATTCATCACACTTTTTGATGATGTAAACAGCAACCCTAACTAATTTTTATTCTTTCCGGACAAATCTGCTGTACACACATACAAAAATAATTAAATATAGTTGCGATTGTACAGAAAAGTGAATGAATTCTCCGAAAAGAGACTCTTCGCTAAACTACGTGTTTTGTTTTTCATTAAAAGTCAATCAGCCAGCAATTGTCCGATAAGATTAGCCATGACTTCACGGCTAACAAAGATAGGTTGTCCGTCCTAGTACCATCCTTTTTTTTAAAAAAGATTTTTGATTGAGGGATCCCTGGAAGATATTTGTAGGTCTGGGTACCCTCCATCCACTCAGAATGCATTGGATGAAAAAATTTCATTATGGCAATACAGCACTCATTGTTTTTAAGCTGCCTTTTTTTGTCTAAATCTCTTTTAGAATTCTAGTACTCTATACTTTGAGAGTGCCACAACAATAAGGTTATTCCAAGATACATAAATATTGCAGTAAAAATACTGATATTTAGGTCAGTAGCAGTTATTAGAAAAAAAATATTTATCTTGTATGGTCTATTCACAGAAAATAATTAAAATAATGTAAATTAATAAATAGTATTCCCACATCTTAACTTCGATTTCTGAACATCCAAGCAGAAGAGGTTCCAAATTAATTTGTTTATTGGATATATATCATATTATATTATGAAACAG